CCTGCTGTCTCACAGCACCTGTGCCCCCCTCCCCAACTTTATTAGTGTGTTTGAGAAATGCGCACAGATATACCCAGCCACGCACATACACCCAGGCACACATACCCAGACACAACGGTGGCCGAGGCTGAGGGTGGGAGCACAGCCCAGGATGCCCGTGGGGGTGTGGCCTGTCCTCCCCCAGGACGCCCGTGGGGGTGTGCCTGTCCCCCCCCAGGACGCCCATGGGGGTGTGCCTGTCCCCCCCCAGGATGCCCGTGGGGGTGTGGCTGTCCTCCCCCAGGACGCCCGTGGGGGTGTGCCTGTCCTCCCCCCAGGACGCCCGTGGGGGTGTGCCTGTCCTCCCCCCAGGACGCCCGTGGGGGTGTGCCTGTCCTCCCCCCAGGACGCCCGTGGGGGTGTGGCTGTCCTCCCCCCAGGATGCCCGTGGGGGTGTGGCTGTCCTCCCCCCAGGACGCCCGTGGGGGTGTGCCTGTCCTCCCCCCAGGACGCCCGTGGGGGTGTGCCTGTCCTCCCCCCAGGACGCCCGTGGGGGTGTGGCTGTCCTCCCCCCAGGATGCCCGTGGGGGTGTGCCTGTCCCCCCCCAGGATGCCCGTGGGGGTGTGGCTGTCCTCCCCCCAGGATGCCCGTGGGGGTGTGCCTGTCCCCCCCCAGGACGCCCGTGGGGGTGTGCCTGTCCCCCCCCAGGATGCCCGTGGGGGTGTGGCTGTCCTCCCCCCAGGATGCCCGTGGGGGTGTGCCTGTCCCCCCCCAGGACGCCCATGGGGGTGTGCCTGTCCTCCCCCAGGACGCCCGTGGGGGTGTGCCTGTCCTCCCCCAGGACGCCCGTGGGGGTGTGGCTGTCCCCCCCCAGGGTAAATGCCAGCTCCCTCGCTCTGCTCATGCAGAAGGCATTTCCCGGCCACTCAGCCGCCTCCTCGCCCTCTGGGGTCCAGGCCCCCAGGCCCGAGTGCAGCAGCCTCCCTGCAGCCTGCGTCCCTGCTTCGGGAGCTACCCTGGCCCTCTCCTTGGACCCAGGACGGGCGTGCGAGTGGGGAGGTGTTTTTAGGCGAATCTGAAGTCTCCCTTCACTCAGCGCGCACAGTAAGAGCCGGAAGCTGCCTGGTTTTGTGCGAAGTGACCCCAGAAGCGGCGCGGTTACAGCCGTGTGCCCCGTCCGCTGACTTCTTCCCCCTGCCCTGAGGCGGAGCCGCAAGGACACGCACGTGTTTCTGGTGATTTAATGGCAATCTTGGCTGTGCATTCATTTAAAAACAGAACTGGAGCCGGTCCATGGAGACTTCGGCAAAGCAGCCCCCCGGGAGCCACGCTGGCTCCTCCCTCAGGCGCACCCCGCTGGGATGTGGGCCTTGGCAGCCTCAGGAGGCTAGAGGATTGGGTGTGTGTGTGAGCTGTGGCTGTGGGTCTGTGCCACTCACATGCCGGCCGCTGTGTTGCCCTGGTCTCGCGACGGCGTGGGTGTGCAGGAAGAAGGGGAGCGTTGGATTTCCCCAGCCAGGGTCCTGCCCTGCCCTGGGGGGGCAGAGGCATTGCCAGGGACACAGGGCAGGGCTCGTGGCCTGGGGTGGCAGAGTGTATCCATAGCCACGTCCTGTGGTCCTTGGGCTGGTGCGTGGAGGTGTGGCCAGGGTGTACAGGTGAGGGCACTGGAGACGGGGTTGGGGGTTGGGGAGGCCACAGAGCCCGAGTGATGGAAACAGAACCCAGAATCGTGGCCCCGACTGAACGCCTCGTCACGGGCGATATGAGTTTTGCTTCTTAAGGATCTGAACACAGTCTAAAAATTCTAACTTTTTAAATGTGAAAGTAATAAGCTTTTATTATAAAAATTAGATAACAGCTACTGGGAGGAACTGGTGCCCAGCGGTAACTGCGCTGTGTTTGGCCCCCTGCCCGTCTCGTGTGCGTGTGGAGAGAGAAGTGTCACTTCTGATGACGTTAGGACTAGCCAGCCCTGGGCATCGGACGGCCCGCGTGTGGGGGTCAGCCAGTCTCGGCCTGAAATAGGTCAGCACTTGGACTGAATGTGCGGACTTTCCTTGTTAGTCCCTAACACGTTCAACAGCTGTTTACGTAGTGCTTGGACGTGAGGGCTGACAACGCTGGGGGGGGGCGGGGGGGGGAAGGCTGAGTAAGGTGCAGGCCCCGCCGCCTGTGGGAGGGGCTTTGGTGTCTGGGGCGGGGACCCTGAGCCAGAGGAGCCAGAGGCCGAGTCGTGCAGGCTGTGGACGCTAGGTGGTTGCCAGCCTTCCCTGGCAGCAGCGCTGCTGGGGTAAACACGTGTGTGTATGCGCATGTGCGCGTGCGCGGTTTTCTGGGGGCCGACTCCGGTGAGTGTGCCGCCCGGGCTGTCTCCAGAAAGAGGCTCGCCGATGGCCGCAGCCTGCGTCAGCTCGGGGCGGTGATGGCACAAAGTAGAAGAAAGGCCGTGTCATTTCCGCTCGCGTAGAGAAGGTGATCAGCTGCAGGGCCTCCCCCGGCTCCGCCGCCCGGGCGCTCACGGCCGCCTTCTCCCCTCAGGAGCAGCAGGGCCTCCCCTGGCTCCGCCGCCCGGGCGCTCACGGCCACCTTCTCCCCTCAGGAGCAGCAGCAGCTCTACCTGCGGTCGGCCGTGGTGTCCTCCGCCACCTTCGAGCAGCCCAGTCGGCAGGTGAAGCTCTGGGTGAAGATGGTGACGCCGCTCATCAAGAACTTCTTCTGAGGACAGACAGGTGCTGTTGCCCGGGGCGCTCTCGCGGGCGTGGGGCTCCTCCCTGGTGCTCAGCCCCAAGGACACACAGGGCGGGTCTCGCCCCCTTCTGCCAGGTCCTGTGCACCGGGTCGCAGGGCTGCCTGGTGTGGGCTTGGACCGGAGCGCAGGTTCAGCGCTGCCCTCGCAGCTGCGCAGGTGCGGGGACGCGGCTGTGGAGGTGGGGGAACTTCTTGGTGGGAGCACTGCCCTGGCCAGCGGCGGCTCCGGGAGGCGGTGGTGGCAGAGCTGGTCCTTGGCCGCTGCCTCGCCGGCCCCCTGACGTTTTGGTGCGGTGCACGTCCCCTGTGCCAGCGGGGGCAGAAGTCCTCTGACATGGGGCAGACGTGTGCTTCAGCGTTGGCGCCCTGTGTTTGTCGTGTGGGTGCCCTTGGCTCGTGCCAGTTCCGTCTCTGCTTGTCAGCACTGCTTGTTTTTCCAGGTTTATTTGAAAGGCGGAGTTGGAGAGGGGGGTGGATGATGTATCTTCCCAAATGGCCACAACCACTGGGGCTGGGCCAGGCTGAAGCCAGGAGCCTCCTCCGGTCTCCCACGTGGGTGCAGGGCCCAAGGACCTGGGCCAAAGTGGAGCAGCGGGGCCAGTGCCGTGGCTCACTAGGCTGATCCTCCGCCTGCGGCGCCAGCACAGCAGGTTCTAGTCCCGGTCGGGGCACCAGATTCTGTCCCGGTTGCCCCTCTTCCAGGCCAGCTCTGCTGTGGCCCGGGAGTGCAGTGGAGGATGGCCCAGGTGCTTGGGCCCTGCACCCCATGGGAGACCAGGAGAAGCACCTGGCTCCTGCCATCGGATCAGCGTGGTGCGCCGGCCACAGCGCGCCAGCCGTGGCAGCCATTGGAGGGTGAACCAACGGCAAAGGAAGACCTTTCTCTCTGTCTCTCTCACTGTCCACTCTGCCTGTCCCAAAAAAAAAAAAAAAAAAAAGTGGAGCAGCCGGGACTCAAACCAGCGCCCATATGGGATGCCAGTGCTCCAGGCGGAGGCGTTACCTGCTACACCACAGCGCCATCCCACACGACCGTATTTCTAACTATGGCATACATCCTGCTGTTCCCCTAAAACGAAGCTGTACCAATACCATGCCTGACATAGATTATGGTCAAATACCCAGATTTATTTGAAGGCTGGAGTTAGTGGTGGGGCGCAGGGAGAGAGTCACTCCCCAAAGACTCCAGCGGCCAATCCTGGGCCTGGCCAGAGCCAGGCACACCGTCCAGGCCTCCCTCAGGGGTAGTACGTGGGCCGTGTTTCGCTGCTTTGAGCAAAGCTGGATCAGAGGACCTCGCCGTCTGTTTGAGAACGAACCGTACTTTAGGGGCAGCTGTCTCAGGCCGCTCCCTCCACCTTTCCTGGGCGTCCTCGGGGGCTTCTGAGAGCAGCCCCCAGGGCACGAGGCTGGATCCCGTTCCTCCTGCCTCCGTGCGGCCGCCCTGTGGGCTCAGGTGGGGCGGGGGCACCCCTTGCTGCCCGTCCCTCCTGCGGGACAGGGGAACGTACGGGGCCCGGCTGCTCCCTTTGCCTCTGTGACCTTCCAGGCCGACCTGACTCCGTCCACAGAGCCAGGGTGCGGGGGCGTCTGTTGCAGTCCCTGCTTTGCCTCTCGGAATGTCTGGGGGTGGTTTTGTCAGCGTGTGGGGTTACTCATGCCAGACTCCACAGGCAGAATTGGCACACGTCCCAAAGGGATCGGCCTGGTGGCCCTGGCTTTTTATCTGATTGAGGGACTAGCTGGACACGCAGGGCAGCAGCGCCCCCTCCTGGCCAGCAGCGGTGGTTGCTCAGCAGTCAGGCTCCCTGGCCAGAGCTCTGTCTCCTTTCCTGCAGCTCCCAAGAGGGTTGGCGTCCTTGGGCCCGGGAGGAGGGCTTTCTCCTCCTGGAGGTGCTGACCCTCAGCTGTCCTGGGAGTGGCCGTCCAGGCTCAGCCTGAACTGAGAAGCCCGTCTGCTCTCGCAGCGTTTCCTGTACCTGGTTTTTGAGCCCGAGATCCGCCTGGGGTCTGTGGGCACTGCTGCCCCCTGCCTGGGCTGGCTCTCGGCTGCCTCCCTCTGCCCCGGCCTCGTCGGGCAGCCCAGCGCTTTGCTGGAACGCTCTGTCTGGCAGCCGGGCTGTGGAGAGGCCTCGTTTCTAAGCGGTGCAGGAAGTGTGTGTCAGGAGAAACTAGCAGATTACCTTGGTTTGTGCCCCCGTCCTCACGTGAGCCGGGGGTCGGGGTTTGGTTCCCGAGAGGGGCCTGACGCCAAGCAGAGGAGCACACGTGGAGCCTCAGACGTTTAATCTGCACCCCCCAGCCCAGCCCCCGGGGGCTACACCTGCAGGAGCAGCGCCACGGCTGCCAGGATCCACTTGGCTGCCCTCTCTTTGGTCTTCAGGTTGAAGGTCCAGACGTAGGTGGGGCCGCGGAGGCGTGTCTTGTACACGGGGCACTCATAGATGTTCTTGGTCTCCATGCGGTCCACAGGGATGGCCTTGATGAAGATGACGGGCATGGCTGGCGTCAGCTCCTTCAGCCGCGCTTCCGCGATCACGCCCGTCTGGATGTCCCAGCGAGCTCCTGGGGGGACGGCACGGCGGCGGATCAGGGTGGCCCTGCGAGGTGACGGCTGGCAGGAACGGGCCCGTACCCCCACAATGGCTGAAGCCAGGGCCGGGGTCTGCGTGGCCCGGGAACAGCGGACAGAGGGCATGCTCGGAATCATGTCGGCACCAGCGCTCGGCCCCGGAGCCTGCCTGCCAGCAAGACGCCGTCTCCGCAGGCGGTCTCGGCCCCTGCCTGGGCGCAGCTCCCCGCACGTGCACCTGGGAAGCGCCGCCTCTCGCCGCACTGCTCTTTCTACGCCCCTATTTAATGACGTTTGTATTTCCTGTCCGAATTCCAAAATAAACGTGGAGAATGGCCACCGCCAGGCTGGGCTTGGTGCTTGGTCACAGGGAAGGGTGTGTCTGACCTCCTGCTGCGGGGTCCTGGGCGGGCTGTGGGACAGCACATGCCCTGCAACCCCCTCCGAGCTTCCCCGCCCTCCCCGTACACAGTCCTGGCTCTGGAAGCTCCCGTGGACAGACGCGCCCCCCTCATTACCTTCCATGAAGAGCCCGTAGACGTAGGCGCCCTCGCGGGGCGGGGCCGTCATGTCCTCGCGGTTTTTCTTGGTCACTTCCACGGACAGACACATCTTGTCGAGGGGCCACTCGTTCTTCCTGGCCATAGACTGCATGATGGCCGTGAGGAAGGACTGCGGGTTGAAGAAGCCGGCCAGCCACACGGTGGTGGGCAGGGCGAAGTCTGTGGTCCAGGCCTCGAGTTCCTGGGAGGAAATGGGGCCGTGAGGGAGGGTGGGGCACAGTCAGTCGGCAGTCCCTGCCCCCGGGACGGCCGGCGCCTTGTTGTTGGGCTCCGTTTCGTGACAAAAGTGTGCGTTTATTTTAAAGGCAGATTGGCAGGGAAAGATAGGTCTTCCATCTGCTGGGTCACTGGCCTTGCAGTGCCGGCTGGGGCTGGGCCAGGCAGAAGCCGGAACTGCGCCCGGTCTCCCCTGGGGGGTGGCAGGGAGCTGCATCGCAAGCACAGAGCACCTGGGACTCAGACCGGGCACCCCGATAGGGCACGTGGGCGTCCCTGGGGAGCCGGGGGCCGAGGGGGACGAACTTGGAGGGTCCTGTGGGCGCCCAGGCGGTCCTGGCCTTGGTCCCTGGGGTGCTGGCTCACGTCAGGGCGTCTGAGGACATGGGGTGCCCTGGGGGAACACGGCTCACCCTGATGCGCAGTAGCAGGTCGGCGTACCAGGCCGCCAGGCCCATCATGGAGGGGTAGGCCCGGGCCACCCACGTGTCGGGCACCGTGTCGTAGAACAGCGCCGTGGACAGGTCTTCCATGTCGGTGGTGATCGTCAGCTCCCCCTGAGGCACACACACGGGTGTTGCCCGCTGCCCCCGCCCCCGCCCCCCCCCAGCTGTGCGCGGCCCGCGGGGAGCTGTCACCTTCAGCCCCAGGCTCAGCTCCTTGAGCGAGCGGCGCATCTCGTTGGTCAGGATGTTCATCCTCTCGCACTCCTGGAAGGCCACCACCACGTACGGGGTCTTCTCGGCCGCCTTGGCCATGATCTCGGCCATGCTGAACGCCTCTGGGATCTTCTCCAAGATGTCGTCCAGCACGGCCTTCACCTGCGAGGCGCCCGCGCCCATGTCAGCGCCCGTGCCCGTGTCAGTGCCCACGCCCGTGTCAGCGCCCGCGCCCGTGTCAGCGCCCGTGCCCGTGTCAGCGCCCGTGTCAGCGCCCGTGCCCGTGTCAGCGCCCGTGCCCGTGTCAGCGCCCGTGTCCGTGTCAGCGCCCGTGCCCGTGTCAGCGCCCGTGCCCGTGTCAGCGCCTGTGCCCGTGTCAGCGCCCGTGCCCGTGTCAGCGCCCGTGTCAGCGCCCGTTCCCACGCCCGTGTCAGTGCCCGCGCCCGTGTCAGTGCCTGTGCCCGTGTCAGCGCCCGTGTCAGCGCCCGTGCCCGTGTCAGCGCCTGTGCCCGTGTCAGCGCCCGTGCCCGTGTCAGCGCCCGTGCCCGTGTCAGCGCCTGTGTCAGCGCCCGTGTCAGCGCCCGCGCCTGTGTCAGCGCCTGTGTCCGTGTCAGTGCCTGTGCCCGTGTCAGCGCCTGTGCCCGTGTCAGCGCCCGTGTCAGCGCGCCAGGGCCGGGGGTTGGGAGCCTGCCCAAAGCAAGTGTGTCCAGACCCGGTCTGGGCCCGCCCGCAGCACCCACGCACCTGCCCAGGAGCCCACGCGCCCGGCTCCCTTGTCAGTCACCTGTGGGAGCCGTGTGGGGACCGTGCACACCCCGCGAGGAGTGGCCCACAGTGCCTCACCATCTGTGAGGTTCCCGGCTGCGACTCAGATCTGGGCAAGGCTCCCAGCCCAGTAGCAACGAGGCTGTGACCCAGACGCCGCCCTGCTTCCTGCGAGGCGCGATCCCAGGTGACTCGTATAGAACTTTGCTAGAATACTGTCCAGCGCCCGGGCTGGGCGGTGGGGCCACCCCCTGGGACACCTGCATCTCACCTCCGCGCCAGCTCGAGCCCTGGCTACCCTGCTTCTGATCCGGCTCCCTGCCGACGGGAGGCAGCAGTGATGCCCCTGCCACCCTCGAGGGAGACCCCGATGGAGCGCCTGACCGCTGTGCCATTTGGGGCGTGAGCCGTGTCTCTCTGCCTTTCAAATGAGCTTTTAAGTACAGAGGAACAAACGCCAGCCCAGACAGCGGAGGGGACGGGAGCCCCGGGTGGCGTCGCTCTCGCGCTCAGCCGACGGGGTCTCCTGTGCAGGCCTGGCTCCCGGAGCTCGTGTCCCACTGTGTTGTGCCTGCTGCCCTCCCTGTGAGGGCCCCGAGCTAGGAGACGAGGGAGAGGGCTGGGGGCCCGGCCCTCAGCCCCTCCGTCGCGGGACACCAGGGAGCCTGCCTTCTCTTCGCGCGAGACTCCTGTGCCCGCCCCCGCGTCGCTCTCTCTGGGCTGCATCTCCAGGACGGTGCGGAACAGCTTCTCCGAGGTGACCGTCAGGAAGCCGATCTCCGCGTTGGGGTGCAGGCCGTACAGATAGGGGCTCTCGGGGGGCAGGTTCTCGTCCATGTACTCGTGGTAGCCCTGCAGGGGGGCGGCCTGGGTCACGCCGGGACCTCCCCAGAACGCCCTTGCCCTCCATGCCAACACCTCCCTCGACCTTGGACCCCCGGCCGCCGTGGCCTCCTCGCCTTGTAGTCCAGGTTGGGCGGGATCTGGAAGCCGGGGGCCAGCAGCACCTCCCCCTCCAGCATCTCGGCCCGGATGTACTCGGCCAGGTAGGTCCGGCACAGCCGGCGGTCCCAGTCGTCTGTGATGTGGCCCCCGTACATGATCTCGCCGAAGAGGTAGCGGAGGTCATCCCACGGCACCTGGGGGGAAGGGTCGAAGGCAGGGCCCTGTCTGTCTTGCACTGTCCCCGCCCGCCAGGCCACATCACGGGGGGGGGGGGGGGGGGGTTCAAGCTCCATCGCAAGCTGAAACTGACCCCACGGAGCGGGCAGTGCGTGCGTGGGACCGCTGCCGGGACGGCGGGGGCACAAGGCGGGCGGTGGCCGCCGGGTCAGGCTGGCACTGTCCCAGGTGAGTCTCCGGGTTTTCAGGTTTGCTTTGATTTCTGAAAACCCGTTAACAGCCAAAGGAAAGGACAGACAGGCGGGCCGGGAGATGGGAGGGGCAGGGGCTGTGTCCCCGCCCATGGGCGGGGCTGGGGCAGGCGCCTCACCTTGGCATTGGCCTCCAGGTAGTTGTAGAGCACGTTGATGGAGATGGTGAGGTCCCCGTTGTTGAAGGGGTACGACCGGTTCCAGCCCTGGGCACCGAACTTGCGCCTCTCGGCCACCACGGCGTGGAAGTAGCACAGGGCAAAGAGGATGCACTTGAACTCGACCTCCTTGGTGCACATCTCCAGGGTGTCCTGCGGGGACAGGGTGGGGGCGCGTCTCGGAGCCGCTCCCCTCCCTGGCCACACCCTGCCCACGCGCGGGCCCCTGGCCGCCAGTGACTGAGCCGGCACAGGCTGCGCGCGCGTGCGTACAGACCCCAGGAGAAGCGGGGGTCCCGGCCACACAGGCCCCGCTCACCTGGGTGAAGAGGTCCAGAGCCTTGTGCAGGTTGGCGTGCATGCCCGTGGGCGGCTCGTTGGTGATCTTGATGGCGTTCTCCAGGATGCCCTGCGGGATGATGTGGGCCTCGGGGCTGGGCGCCGGCTCGGCGCTGATGAACACCCGGTAGTCCTCGTGGCTGCCCGTGCTGTACCGCTCCACCTTCTTGTCCAGTGTGCTCAGCCAGCGGGCCACCAGGTGGATGTTCTGTGGGCAGGACCGGGGTTGGCCTCACGCACGCCTTCCCTGCCCACGAGGTCCGCCAGGGACACAGCCACTCCAGCACCGCCTCCCAGCAGGGGTCGTGCCCAGTGCTGCGGCCTTGTCCCCGCCACCTGCCCGCAGGAGGCTGAGCTCACCGGGCCCCCGCCCCCTCTGGGTGGTGGAAGAGGCACAGGGCCAGGCCTGCGGGCTTTGAGGGACGCCCCTGGGCCCAGGGTGTGTTTTCAGTGGTACCAGGGCTCCAGAAAGCTCATGGAAAACGCGCACCACGGACAGCGTGGATTTCAACGGATATTTGTAGTCAGGATAAAGTCACCTCTAAATCCCATTTTTCCATGAATTTTTTTCCAGGCCCTTGTGTGTGCTCAGGGTTTCTCTGGGAGCCCCCGCGGCCGCTCCCCCATGCAGGAGCCCACGCTTGCACCCCGTGGCCTGCAGGACACCCACTCCCTCGCGCCAGCCCGGGCACCTGCAGGATGACCCAGTGTCCATTCTCGGCTGCCACGTCCAGGGCGTTCTCGGCCACCACCTCCTGTCCCTGCCCCAGGGACACGTTGTGCAGCTTGCCATTGTCTATGGTAAAGCCCAGCTTCTTCCCTAAAGGAGACGAGAGCAGCTCAGACCCTGCGAGTCCACACACCCGGCCCCGAGGGTTCCGCACAAACGCAGAACACACGTGACCCGAGACCTGAGCAGCCCATCCGGGCACCCTGTGGGGCCGCCAGCTGCCAGGTCTAGAACGGCCTCTTGGCCCCTGGCCCCGGGGACCACCCCTCGGTCACCCGCAGCCATCCGAGTGGGAGGACCTGGGGGGAACACGAGCAGCTTCCCCTGGCCACGTGGTCTGCGTGTCCCCCATGAGACCCCGCCAGGCTCCCCTCCCCCAGCGCGCACGGGGGTCCCAGGCTCTGTCGCCGGCCCCAGCTTCCTGTCTGCCACAGGGTCTCCCGCTGTGGCCGGGAGGGTGGCCAGCCTGCCACACTCACCCAGGGCCTCCACGTCCTTCAGGGGGTCGACCCCCGGGGAGAGGATGAAGAAGATGGGGGTGGAGGGGCTGCTCTCCTCGTAGGACTTGGAGAACTCCACACTGCGGCCCTCCACGAACTTGCTGCCCATCTTCTCCTCCACGAAGTTCCTGGGGAGCACACGTGGTCAGCGCCCAGGGCCGAGCCGCCACCCCCGCCCCCAGGCAGGAGGGCCAGTGTCGGGCGGGGGGCTTGACCTCAGCAGCGAAGCCTCTGGCGGGGAAGCAGAGTCTTCCTGGGGCTCCTTGCCCAGGGAGCGGGGGAGTCGTGGGCAGGGGGATGCCCCCCAGGCACAGGCGGGGGTGGGGGCTCCACGGGGGTAGGGAAGGAAGCAGCTCAGAGGACAGCAGTCTGGGGAGCCGACTCTGGACAGCGTGAGCGCCCTCCTCCCTGGCCCAGGGCCCTGGTCCCCTGTGGCTGAGCCCCCTCTGCCGAGTGGACCGTGGGAGCTGACCTCTCACGCGCCCGCCCTCAGCGCCGGGGGACCTGAGCCCCCCGGGCCTCCCCTCTGACCTGAGCAGGGGTCAGCGGCGGCTGCTTTCCCACCCTGGGGCTTTCTGGGGCCACCTCATCTGCCTGGCTGCTGCCCAGCCCAGCCACAGCCGGGTTCTGTTCGGCTGCCCCTGGAATGGAGGTCCCCCAGGTGCCGGGTGCTGCCACACTGAGCCACCTCAGCCCCTTACTGGGCCAGGACAAATTAGCGCTGTCTAGGGGCGAATGAGCGATGCCCAGGGCCCGGCAGCCCCTGAAGCTGACCCCTGCTGGTTCGAGTCCCGGCTGCTCCACTTCCCATCCAGTCCCCTGTGAATGCGCCTGGGACAGCAGCAGACGGCCCGAGCACGTGGGTCCCTGCACCCACGCGGGAGACCCGGATGGAGCCCCAGGTGCCCGGCTTCGGCTTGGCCCAGCCGTTTGTTGAGTGAACTCCTGGATGCAGGATCTGGTTCTCCCGCTCTGCCCCACCCCTATCAAATAAATCTTAAAAGTTAAGCAGGGCTGGGTCCTAGGCAGGCTCCGCCACCTCCAGCCTCGTGCTCACGGGCAGTGCTGGCCAGCGGCGGGAGACCACAGCTGCACACTTGCTGTGCACGGCACAGGCTGGGGAGCCCAGTCGCCAGCAGAGCACCACGGAGGGCACGGGACTGGCTCTGGTCACTCACTGTCCATTCATGAACCTCGCCAGAGCTCTGCCCCCCGCCTCCCTCCCCACCTGGGAGCACAGAGCTTCAAAGCCCCCAGCCCAGAGGCTGTGTGACCCATGGGGGGAGGGTCCCCTAGCTCATCTTGGGACCCAAGCACGCTCGGGTCCCAGGTGCCCCGCCCCGATGTCTGGCCGCCTCCCCCCACAGGAAGACCCCGCGTGGCAGGAACCGGGGCGCGTGAGTCAGGCCCTGCCTTGTCAGAGGGGAATTCTGTCGGGCACGTGGGCGTCTTTGGGAAACGGGCGGTTTCCAGGCAAGAAGCAAGAGCAGCCGGGGCTCCCTGTGGGGCAGCCCCACCCGGTTCCCCCGGGACCTGACCCTGTCCACGGGCAGGTTGCTCATGACACAGACATTGGAGTGGTTCCCTGGCAAACTCGCTAAAACCCACACTGGTAGAAGACAAGTGTAGACACCCCAAAGGGCCAGGGGGACTGGCGGCGCAGGGCGGGACCCCTGGTGATTGGCGGCACAGGGCGGTGCCCCCCCCCCGATGATTGGTGGGCCCGTACCCAGGAGATTGGCAGTGCAGGGCGTGCCCCGGGTGGCGGGCGGCGCAGGTCACGTTCTCAGGTGATTGGCGGCACGGGGGGGGGGGCTCCCCGTGGCTGGCGCGCTCACCTGACGGCGTAGGTCATGCGGTCGGGCCGCATGCAGCGCACCATGCAGAGCTTCTGCAGCGCCGTCTTGTTCTTCCACTCCTTGGGGAAGATCTCCTTCTCCGGGGCTTCCGACTCCACCAGCTTCTTCCAGCGCTTGGCCGAGCCTTCGATGTCGTTGTCCAGGTTCTTGAACTCGTCCATCTCCGCCAGGGCCTGGGGGCAGACGCGGGGGCTCCGGGAGCACCTTTTCTGCCCCCACCCCCCAGCGGCACCAGGCCTGACCCCGACGTCACCTGCAGTCCCTGCGGGGTCACCCCCCAGGCACGAGACCTCGCCTCCCGGCCCTGGGGGTCCCCGGAGACCACCGTCCTCAAATCTTTCTCAACCAAGACTCGAAACTTCAGACTTGAGGGTCCCTGACCGTGTGTGACTGGGGGTGACCTTTGCACTCTGCACTTCTGGGCACCGGGGAGGGGGCCATGGGGGGAGGTGGGGAAGGGTGTCGCCCTGGGCGTGACTTGTGCCCGTGCTGGCGCTTGTGGGAGCCGGGGACGCAGCCGACGGCACCCTCGATGGGGAAGCAGAGCCCTGGGACCCCAGCAGCGCCCCCCTCCCCCATCCCCCCCTCTGGGCCTCCTGGCTGCCCAGGCCCCGTAGAAGCCCCCGGCCCCCTGGCCCAGGGACCAACCTTGATCCCACCCCAGCCCTGGTGCTGCAGGAAGTCCACCGGTGAGACGACCCCGGCCTTGAAGGGGAAGCGCAGGAGGAAGTCCAGCTCCACGGGGCTCAGCTCCTTCTTCATGGACAGGACCTGTGGGGCGTGAGGGCGCGCTGACTGTCCGCCCGGCCGGGGGCCTCGTGCCGCCCCCTCCTGGCCGTCCCCACCTGGCCGCGGTGCTTAACTGGGTGGGGGGCGTTTTACCACCTTGGCCCCATTACCGTGTTTGATGCAGCATCTCTGGGGAAGACGCAGCGCTAACACAGGACCACGCACCCAGCGCCACTCCCCCAGGAGTCCCTGGGACGGCAGGCGTCTCGCCCCGGTCTGGGTGGGGGAGGGGCCGAGACTCTGCTTTCGTCCCCTCGGGGTTGGCTGTCACCTGAAAGGTCACTTGCGCCAGGAAGATGAGCTTGTCCCGCTCGAAGAGGCCGCGGGCGGTGTACGTGTACACGGAGTAGGTGATCTCGTCCGTCAGGTTGCTCACCCGCTGCCGCACCTCGTCGGCCGGCGCCGTCTTCTGGATGGCTTTCTCGAACACCACGTTGAAGGCCTGGGCCGCCAGGAGAGCCGGGGCTCAGGGCTGGGGCTCCGCGGGAGCCGGGGCTCAGGGCTGGGGCTCCGCGGGAGCCGGGGCTCAGGGCTGGGGCTCCGCGGGAGCCGGGGCTCAGGGCTGGGGCTCCGCGGCCCCGCCCCGCCCCGCCCCGCCCCGGCGGCAGGTGCGCCCACCTTGAGGGAGAACTGGTAGATGGGGTTGATCTTGCTGAGGTCATTCAGGATGAAGTAGAGCAGGGAGGCCCGCTCCGCCGCCGGCCGGTAGTTCTCTCTCGCCTCGTTGATTTTCGTCTCCGTGATTTTAGCCTCTTGCACCTTAACACGAGTGGACGGGCGCTTGGGTGGAACCCACGGGCGGACGCCGCCAGGCGCAGGGGTCCTGCCCCTTCCAGTGCCCTCGGGAGCCCCACGCAGGGGCCTCGGGGCAGACGGCCGCTCCTCCCCGCCCCGCGGCCGCCCACCTTCTCCTCGATCTCGCTGGCCGTGTGCTTGGTGGTCTCCAGGTTCTCCACCAAGGCCGTGTCCCCCAGGAAGTGTCCGGAGGCGGCCGACAGCCGCGCCAGCAGGGAGTCCTCCAGTTCCTTCAGCACGATCTTGAACTCGTTCTGAGACTTGGTGAGGCTGGCCTGCGGCAGGGCCGAGACCCGGGGAGCAGTGTCGGTCACCGCCGGCCTCGGCCCTGCCGTCCCAGCACAAGTCCGGCCAGGCCGCAGAGGACAGAGGTGGGCGGGGCGGTGCAGGACAGGGGCCTCGCGGCCCCCCGGGGGAGAGGCTTGTCCCGGACAGAGCGAGGGAGCGGCCAGGTGCGGCCTGCAGCGCCTTGGAGCCGCCCAGGTCCCTGCCGCCTGCTGTGACCAGGGCCATCACTTGGCTTAGTGTCCAGCGCAGGAGCTGGATGAGGAGACGCTGGGGGAGGAGGAGTGGCTCGGCCCCCTCCCCCTGGGGAGAAGGTAGGGCTCTGGGCGGTGGGCGTCCCCCGGGGCTGGCGGCCACAGGCTCGGGGACCCTCCTGTTGACCAAGGCCCCCCTTTCCTTTTTTTTTTTTTTTTGATTTTTAAACTTAATTTCATTCTTTATTTGGAAGACAGAGACTCCTGTCCTCTGGTTCACTTCCCAAATGACAGCAACAGCCAGGGCTGGGCCAGGCTGAGGCCGGGAGCGGGGAGCTCCGTCTGGGTCTCCCGCAGGGGTGGCGGGAGCCAGCCCTCCACTCACCACCTGTGTGCGTGCAGGAAGCTGGGATTGGGAGAGAAGCCAGGACCTGAGCCGGGCACTCGTAAGTGGGATGCGGGTGTCCGGGAACCGCTGAGCCGCTGGCCCGGCCCTGCCCCGCTCCCCCTGCCTGGGGCCCCCCATGCCCCGGGGCATCCGGCCGTCACCTTGAGCTGCTCCAGATCCGGGCGCTCTTTGGCCACCACGGCGGCCAGCAGCTGGTCCTCGAGGCCGTCCCTGGTGACGAGGAAGTTGATGAGGGTGCACTGGGCCTGCATCTCCGGCTTGTAGTGCGGGTTGAAGTACTTGGTGTGCAGGATGAGGCGGAACTTGGGGTGGTACTCCACCTCCTTGTCGCCGATCTTGATGAACCTGGCCACGGGCGCGGCGAGGGTCAGGTCCGGGAGCCCCCATGCCAGGCCAGCCCCACATGCCCCGCTGGCTGCTGGAGGCTCCTTGGCTCCCTTGTCCTGCACTGGGCCCTCCCGGGAGGTGCCCCTGTGAGGTCTGCTCTCCCCTTAACCATGGGGCCACTGGGCGCTGGCTGTACCTCGAGCCCTCCTGGGGGCTTGGACAGGCAGCTGCCGGGCTCTCCCAGGCCCGACTCAGACACCAGGGCATTCTGGGAGCTCCCGCAGGTGCAGGTGGGCCTGCCGTCACTCCTCCCCTCTTCCTGATGGAGCCTGCTTCGGGGACTCCTGCCCACGTGCACGCCTCAGGTGTGGCCACTCATGCAAGGCCTGCCCCTCTGTGCTGGCCCCTGCCGCACCCCTGCATGGAGAGGTGGGGCCTGTTTTGTTTTTTATGTCACAAAGTGATGCCAGCTTGAGGCACAGGCTGACGGGCAGATCCGCAGAACGTGGTGGGGTCTTGCAAGAGGCTGCGTCCGGCCTTAAGCGGGAATGGGGCCACTGACCCAGGCCATGGCGCGGACAGGCCTGGAGTGCACCACGCCCTGCAAAGAGAGCCAGACGCCAAAGGGGACCTGCCGGCGTCTGTGGGTGTGGGATGATGGGAAGCAGGGGCGGGGTCGCCTGGGGCCGGGGAGCCACCGCCTGACAGGCTGTCCCCCGGGATGTCCCTGTGCTGAGGACGGGGCTGGGCAGTGGCTGACCACCTGCCGGACAGTTCACTTGGAAAAGGTTCACTGATGTCTAAAGAGCAAGCTGGCCTCTCTCGGGATTTGCAAAATTCCCGAGAACAGAGGCTGTCCCACGAAGGACCGCGCCCGCCTGTGGACCCTCTCCACGTGCTCGAGCCCCCTGGGGGCGGTGCCCCGGGTGGGACCGCAGCACCGGGGCCGACTCACCGGCCCTTCTTGATGGTGTTCCTGCCCAGCAGGGGGTCCAGCACGGGGTCCACGGTCTCGCCGATGTTCTCAATGAGCAGGGTGTCACCCTCCGAGACGGCCTGCTCGATCATGTCCAGGTAGCTGTGGGCACAGCAGAGGCCGCTGAGCACTGGGGCCCGGCAGGGAGCCGTGGCTAAGCCAGCTCGCGCGTGTGTGGCTCGCGGGCTGGGCGTGGGCGCAGCTTCCCGGCTGCCCAAACGCTCCAGGCCCACATCCCCCCTCTCGGACCCCGTTAGCCGGCTCGCTGCCGTTGCTTCTCACGCAGGAGCAGAGTGCGGCCAGCGGCTGAGCGGCGCCCGAGCCCAGGCCCACGTCCGGCTCCGTCCGCAGGAGCAGCAGGCAGCGGTGGAGGGAGAGCAGCCCTGGGCTCAGCCCTTCACTCCTGCGCCGCCCCCGGGTCGGGTGTGGGCGCCGCGGGCCATCATCTGTCGGGCTGCAGGTGTGCGCCTCGCAGATAGGAGAGGGCGTGGGAAGCCGGAACCGCAGGTTGGTCTGGAGCTCCGGGGCGTGCGGTTTTTTCCGCTGCGCACATTCTCCACGCACTTGTGACGACCCCTCGGAGCGGACTTCCACGGGTTCCGCGCCAAAATGAACTTGTCTTTCAATTCAGTCGTCCACCAGCTTTTCCAAGTGCCCGCACGTGCCACACCCAAGGCACAAACACGGGGGCCCGCCAGCCCCTGCCACCGCCCCCCACCGCCGGGTTCTGGGGCGCCCGCACCTCTTCTGGCCCAGGCGGATGGCCCTCAGGTCACCCCCGTATTTGTTTTTGATCCACTTGATGCCCTGCAGCTGGGCGTCCACGATGAGCGGCCAGCGCTCCGTGTTGCACAGGATGGTGGCGTTTTCCGTGGACATGCGGTCACTGGGGAGGCCCTGGTTGTTCCAGGTGGCCACGTCCGCGTCGTCCGTCAGCAGGCTCAAGGGGTCCAGGCCTTTGGTGATGGGGATGGGGACCTGCCGAGGGGCCGGAGGTGACTCCCGGGGGCGCTGTGCAGAAGGCGGGGCCACGCCCACCCGGGGAGCCTCGGCCAGGCGGGGGCAGCACGGCCTCCCCGGCCGGGCACAGGGTCACGGCACTCTTGCCTTTAGGTTGTTGATGTAAGGGATCCAGAACTTCTCCATGAGCTCGTTGCGGTACTTCTTGGTGAAGTAGCCCACGTAGGAGACGAAGGCGGACACGAGCAGCACGTCCCCGCACAGCGTGGCGCCCTGGCACTTGTAGCTTTCCACCGACTCTGCCCAGCGCACGTTCTCCGAGGCCAGGCCCCCCACCAGCCTGCGCGGGAAGGCGGGGGCACGGATCACACGCCGGGAGGTGACAGCCAGCGAGTCCCGGGGCCCAGCCAGGGGCCTCAGCGCCTGCCCCAGCCATCGGCACCCACGCCCTGTCCACGTGGTGAGCCCACGCTTGGCTGGAGGGGGCGGAGTCTGGGTAGGGACCAGGGAGGCCCAGTGCAGCACCTGGCGCTGGTGGGGCGGGGCCTGCAGGGAGTGCGCAGTGTCTTGGGCCCCCAGCTGGCCGCCGCCCCCAGCCCTAGGGGCTCTCCACGCGTCTGAGAGCCTGGGTGGGCCCCTCCGATTGCTCATGACCCAGAGACCGCTCGGATTTTCCCGGCCCATGTGGCACGGGGCGGCGGCTCTGAGGCCGGGGCAGCCTGGAGCCCCGCACAACCCGGCGGTTCCCGCGCTCCCTCCTGGATGAGCTCACGCTGACCACTCTCGCGAGGCTTTTCAACGTGGCTGTTGGGGAAGCTCAAACGCCCGCTTGGGCCGGCACGACGGCCCAGTGGGCAGCGCCACCCGGGCGTCCAGATTCAGGCTCGCAGCTGGGAACGGCACGCGTGCTGGCCATGCAGTGACCCCGGCCCACGCTCCTCGCTGCCGCGTGGGTGGCAGTGGCTGACCACAGATGCGCCGTCCCAGGCCACGGACCGCACAGGAGCCTCCCCCGCCGGCACCCTGACTAGCTCCGCCCCCACAGGGCAGGCTGTGGCTCTGAGGGCCGGGAGGTGGCCCCTGGAGGGCCGGCTACCTGTTGGCCAGCGAGATCACCCTGTTGGTGGCGTCGGCCTCTTGCTGACATTTGATTTTCTCGGCGGTCGCTTTCTCGAATGCCGACGTCAGGTTGTTCAGGTTGGCATTGAGCTCCTGGGACGACAGGGCGGGGTGACGCCGCGGCCCGGCCAGGCGCGGGAGCAGGGCCGGCGCGGGGCACGTGGGAGCTGCAGCGCTTACGGCGATCTTGTTTTTGATCCGGGACAGCTTCTCCTGGGCCTCTGCCAGCTCCGCGTTGGCCTCCTCCAGCGCCTGCCTCTTGGGGGCCACGTCGCAGTAGACCTCGTAGAAGCGGACGATGTTGATGCACCAGGAGCACAGGCCGGCGGCCGCCGTGGACTTGGACCGGATGAACTCGGGGTCGAAGGTGGGGTTGCCTTGGTAGGGCCTGGCGTGGGGACGGCGGCCGGCGCTGAGCGGGGCACGGCCTGCAGGCTGCCGCCCCGATCCCAGGCACCGGGGACAGCACAGGAGGGCGGGGGTTCTGGGGGCCCCTCGGCGACGGGAGAAGACACAGGGGACCCTGGCCTCTGAAGCAGGGCTCTGGGTGTGAGGCGCGAAGGACAGCAGCGGCTCGGGCTCGCCCTGGGGCTGGGCTCAGGCTCCTCCCTGTTCCTGGTGTGGCACGGAGGCGCTCACAGCGGCCGTAGGAGATGGAGTTGAAAGGGTATTTCAGCGCAAAAGCTTTGTGTGTGTGTGTTTTTTCCATAATACACAATTTCCACGAACTTTTTGAAGCCTACTTGGATGTATGAATTTCAACGTATTTAAAAAAAAGTTTTCCTTTTATCCTAACGGTAGAGGGCGCAAGCGAGCGAGTGAGCGCTGTATTTGCCATCTGCTGGTTCACCCCTCAAGTGCCTGCATCAGCCAGGGCGGGGCCAGGCTGGAGCCAGGCGTCTGGGGCTCCCCGGCGGGTGGCAGGGCGCCGGGTTCTGAGCCGTCACCTGCCGCCTCCCAGCGTGTGCATCAGCAGGAAGCTGGCTCAGAAGCAGGTGGGGATGGGGGCTCAGAAGCAGGTGGTGCGCCGTGGCGTAGTGGGTAAAGCCACTGCCTGCAGAGCCGGCATCCCATACGGGCGCAGGTTCGAGTCCCGGCTGCTCCACTTCCCATCCAGCTCTCTGCTGTGGCCTGGGAAAGCAGCAGAAGATGGCCCAAGTCCTTGGGCCCCTGCACCTGTGTGGGAGTCCTGGGGGAAGCTCCTGGCTCAGTTGCAGCCATCTGGGGAGTGAACCAGCGGATGGAAGACCTTTCTCTCTCTCTTTGCCTAATTCTCTTTCAAATTTAAAAAAAAAAATCTAGCTCAGGATGTGTTCTAGTAACGGAGAGGAAAGATCTTTTTGGTCACGATGTTAGATAAAAGAACCAAAAGCAGCAGAATGACCATGTGGACACAGTGTTACTCCAGCTGTGGAAGGAACGTTCTAGAAAGCACTGGCCTGTGCTGGGCCTGCACGGGTCTCTCCCTGCACCCACCCGATGGCTTCAGTGGCCCATCCCCCTCACGAAGGGGGGTACGAGAGGAGCCAGCCCTCCCAGTCCAGCGGTCATCCCACGGGGGCCTCCATCAGACCAGCGAGAAGATGGAGAGGGGCAGGACGGGACCCCTGCGAGTGAGCACTGCCTGTGTGCGTGTGCAGACATGCGTGTGCACGTGTGTGGTTTGCCGCTCCGGCGGGGACAGCCCCCTTGTGGTCCCGGGCACGAGGGCTTCCTGCTGCTGTGTGGGGAGGGCTGCCTAGGTGTGGAGGCACGGCCCTTTCCACCTGCCAGGTTCCTTCGGGTGGGGGATGCCCACACCCGCCCCCCGCGAGCCCAGGCCACGCCTCGCCTCGGCACCCTGATAGCTCAGGGGTTGCCGATTTGCCCAGAAGCCGCCCCCGTCTGGAGCCCCGCCCAGCTCTGCCCCCCCCCCCCGCAGGGCACCGCTGGGGGCCGGGCGCCGGCTCACTTGAAGGCCTTCAGGCAGGCCTCGGGGATGTGCTCCTTGTCGAATCTCTTCAGCGAGTCCAGGAAGCTGTCCACCTTGCCCATCATGATCTTGGCCGCCTTCCAGCTCTTGTCCTTGGGGATCTTGCCCCCCGGTGCCGTCAGGATCATCACGGCGGCCGTGACGTTGACCACGGCGTCCGGCGGGGACCCGAAGGACTTCAGCTCCGTCAGGTTGTTCTGCAGGCGACAGGCGTGGCCATGGGCACGTCCCCACGGGACCCCCCCGCCGGGCCAGGCCGCCCCTCTCGGGCCGGGGTCCCGCCTGCTACCTTGTTCAGAGTGTCCAGGGCCTCCTGTGCGGCCAGCAGGGCCGGCTCCGCCTTGGCCAGGTCCGTCTCACAGGCCTTCTGCTTCTCTGTGACGTTCTGGAAGGAGCCAGACAGGAAGAGGGAAGATGGGGGGGGCGGGGGCGGGGGGGGTGGGGGGGCCTGGGCCACAGCGAGGGGCAGGTGTGCGACGTCGCGGGCTGCAGCTGGCTTCTCCCCCTGCCTCTCCAGTCAGGTCAGGATCCGGAATGGGAACTGCGCCCTCTGCTGGCTTCAGCTTCCAAGACCGAGGGGGCTCCAGGGACACCAGGGACCCCCCACCCCGCTCTGCTCTGCTTGTCTGGGATCCTGTGTGATCCTCCAACTGCAGCAGTGCACGGCGCCTGGCTCCTCCCACTCACAGAGCGAGCGCCGCCCACTCACCCACGTGGCTGCACACCCCCCGCATCACTCATTCACCCCTCCTGCATCACTCATTCACCCCTCCTGCCTTCACTCATTCACCCCTCCTGCATCACTCATTCACCCACGCCTGCATCACTCATTCACCCACGCCTGCATCACTCATTCACCCCTCCTGCATCACTCATTCACCTCTCCTGCCTTCACTCATTCACCCCTCCTGCATCACTCATTCACCCCTCCTGCATCCCTCATTCACCCCTCCTGCATCACTCATTCACCCCTCCTGCCTTCACTCATTCACCCCTCCTGCCTCACTCATTCACCCCTCCTGCCTTCACTCATTCACCCCTCCTGCATCACTCATTCACCCCTCCTGCCTTCACTCATTCACCCCTCCTGCCTTCACTCATTCACCCCTCCTGCATCACTCATTCACCCCTCCTGCCTTCACTCATTCACCCCTCCTGCATCACTCATTCACCCACGCCTGCATCACTCATTCACCCATGCACATCCACTCTTTGGATCAGAAAAGAGCCCTGGGATCCCAGCAGGGAGACCAGGGGAACTTGGTATCAACAAGGAACAGGACTGGGTGAGAACAGGGGTCGATAAAGCAGTGGCCGGGGACAGACTGCTTTGCTGGGCTCCCAAGGAGGGCAGAAAGGAGGGTGTGGCATGGTGGTGCAGCAGGCCAAGCCTCCTGTTGCAATGCCTGCATCCCATATATATAAAAATGTATATATATATAAAGATTTTTTATTTGAGTTAGAGAGAGAGAGAGAGGGTCTTCCAGCCACCGGTTCACTCCCCAAATGGCTGCAACAGCTGGAGCTGTACCGATCCGAAGCCAGGAGCTTCTTCCAAGTCTCCCATGTGGGTGCAGGGACCCAAGGACTTGGACCACCTTCCACTGCTTTCCCAGGCCACAGCAGAGAGCTGGATCGGAAGTGGAGCAGCCAGAACTCAAACCAGTGCCCATATAGGATGCCAGCGCCACAGGCGGCGCCTTCACCCACTACACCACGGTGCCAGCCCCTGCATCCCATATGCAGCACCCGTTCAAGTCCCAGGAAAGCAGGGGACAGCGGCTCAAGTTCTTGGTCTCCTGCCACCCCGATGAATTCCCAGCTCCAGCTCGGCCCAGGCCTGGGCATTGTGGGCCTTTGGGGAGTAAATCACAGTCAGATCTGTCGCTTTCTCTGTCATTCCGTCTTTCTAATAAATAGATTAAAAAAAAAAAAAACGACAGGAGATGGGGTCGTTGCGAATCCTCCCCTGTGTGCTGGGGGCGCCTCCTGCTCCGCTGGAACCCACCAGAGGTCCCCCTTTTTACCCTACTTTGGGGAAAATCCTGGAGGTGAGCAAGGGGATGCTTCCCTGGCCGCTCGCGGATGGAGGTTGGAAGGGGCATTGGCAGCCTCGAGTCAGCACGAGAAGCAGCGAGGCAGGACCCGCGTCCCGCTCCGACCTGGCTGTGCCGCCTCTGGCCAGACACTGGCACACGGAGCCCATCTTCCCGTCTGTCCGCAGGGGTGTGGTTCTGAAGGCCACAGTGAGAGGAGGGGCGGAGCTCTGGCTGCCCGCGTGGGTGGAGACCTGCTCAGGTCTGGGCGGGGGGGAGGCCCTGCCGGGTGACAGCAGGTGCACACAGGCAGGGCGATGACACGAGAGGTGACACACTGCACGGTGATGGTGCAGGCGACGGAGCTGTTCCCAAGAGGGACCTCAGCCTTTGTCCCCACCAGGACCAGCGCGGAGCCCACCTGGGCCCGCGACCCCCCCTTTCTTTGCAGCCCCTGTCACTCGCGGGTCGCTGGCATCCTGTGCAAATGCGGGTGCCACTCAGCAGGGCTCCCAGGGACGTGGGGGCCGCTGGGCTGTGTGGGAGGGCGCCCCCCAAGGACAGCCTCTCCCGAGAGCAGCCCCTGCTCCTGGGGGCCCCGGTGTGGGGGCCCGTCCTCGTCCCCGGGTTGGGTGGTGCCCGCGGTCCCACCTTGTTGATGACCTCGACCTTGACCTCCTCCTCGTCCGCGATGGCCTTCTCCTTGCTGACCTTCTCGGTCTCCACGCCCACCACCTGGATCAGCTTGTCCGCGTTCTCGTTCTTCTGTTTGAGCTCCGTCTCCTGCACCGCCAGCTTGGCCTTCAAGTCATCCACCTGGGAGCGGGCGGCGGGGGGGTGCATCCTGCATTTTCAGGGTCTCAGAGCCAAGCGTTTGCTCAGCGCCAGCTGTGTACACAGGGTCACACGTCCAGGTCGTTCCTGGATAAACTCCATCCCGTGGCTGCAGTGCTGGGCGCTGCCTGGGGCGGCGGGGGGGAGGGCGCTGAGGGCCACCCTGGCTGCCTGCGGAGGAGGCGGGAGGCCCCAGCCGGCTCAGCACTCGGGCAGTGGGTGTGCCCACAGCCGCCAGCAGGGGGCGGTAAAGACGAGGCGGCCAGCCTACCCACCACGAGAGGGTGTTGGAAGCCAGGCAGGCTGAGCGCGGGCTGCAGCAGGCTCACGTACCGACGGTGCCCGTGAACGGCTGCATCCCCACTGACCACGCGGGGCGGGATAAACCTGCCCCTGGCACCTTGGGTCCGCGTGGTCCGCCTCGGGCGCGTGCGCCGCCCACCTGGGAGGCCGTGCTCTGCAGCTTCATCAGGCCGTTGTCCAGCCGCTCGATCTTGGCAGCCAGCTCCATGCGCTTCTTGGCCAGCAGGTTCTGGTACAGCTTGATCTGCTCCAGGAAGGTCTTGGGCGTGGTGTAGTTGTAGCGCCTCTCGGTGGCCAGGTACACCTTGGACATCTCGTTGACGGTCGTGTGCACGTAGGACATGAACAGGCTGATGGACGCCTTCACTTCCGGCTGAGAGACGACACAGGCCGGGCACCTGAGGCCTCCCCTCCCCTCCCGAGGCGCCCGGCACGGGGCCGAGCCCACGTCCCCGGACACACATCACAGTCAACACATGGGGAGCCCGCTGTGGGCTCCAGCCCCCTGAACCGCCTACACGGGGAGCAAAACGCAACGGCCTGTCTTTGTTAGGGTTCCAGTATTCCGGCCTCTGTGAATTTTTGGCGTTACTTTTCATTTAAAAGATGCTGCATCAGAGATGGGCATTGTGACGTAGTGGGCTAAGCCACCACTTGGGACGCCCATATCCCACATCAAAGTCCCTGGTTCAAATCCTGGCTGCTCCACTGTTGATTTTTTTTTTTTAAAGATTTATTTATGTATTTCAAGGCAGAATTACAGAAAGAGGGAGAAACAGAGAGAGAGGTCTCCCATCCACTGGTTCACCCCCTAAAGGCCACAAGAGCCAGGCCTGGGCCAGGCTGGAGTCAGGAGCCAGGAGCTCCATCCGGGTCTCCCACGCGGGTGCAGGGGCCCAAGCACTTGGGCGTCTTCCGCTGCTTTTCCCGAGCACATTAGCAGGGAGCGGGATCAGGAGGAGCGGCCGGGTCTCAAGCTGGTGCCCGTGTGTGATGTCGGTGCTGCAGGGGCAGCTCCCTGCTGGTGAACCCTGGGAGGCAGTGATGGCCCGAGTGCTTGGGCCCCCGCCGCCCACGTGGGAGACCTGGTGGAGCTCCAGGCTCCTCGTCTCGGCCTGGCCCAGCCCTGGCTGTTGTACCCATTTGGAGAGTGGACTAACAGATGGAAGATCTCGCCGTCTTTCATCCCATCCCGATCACTCAGCCAATCATCAATCTTTCACAAACCATGACCAGTGGTTCTCGGGCTCTTGGTGGCCCCTTCGAGGCTGCGCCCAAGGCGAGGGCCTCTCCCCGCTCCCCCAGCCCTGTCCCCAGGAGGCCTCAGCGCTCACCTGAATCCCCGGGGTCTCCTGCAGGAAGCGGGCGCTGACGGACACCAGGGCGTCCTCCGGCCACTCGTGGAACCAGTTGATGGCCGTGCAGTTGACCACGGCAGGGAACTTCCTCGCTCGCACGCGCAGGACGGAGCCCACGGGGGAGAAGCACAGGATCACCTGGGTGCGGTCACGGACGAGCTGCTCGGTGGGGGGCGGCAGCGTGGAGGGCAACCGTTCACCCCGGCGGGAAGACCCCGGCCAGCGACGCCAGGGCGGGCGGAGGGGGCGTCCGTGCTGGGCAGGTGAGGCTGGAGGCCAGGGAGGCTGCAGTCTGGTCTCAGGCCAGCAGTAGACACGGAGCCTCTGGCCCTCAGGGACGGTGGCCGAGCCCCAGACAGGGAGGGGACTCCCTGGACGCCCTCTGCAGCGGGCGCCGTGGGGACAGGTGCCGGGTCCTCGTGCCGGATGGGGACCTTGCTGCTCCTGCAGCCCCAGCCTGCTGCCCCCACCCTGCCTCTCCGGCCCCTTCTTTGGTGGGCGCTGCATGGGGCGGCTTTGAACGTGGCTGTCCCTGGGGCTGGCAGGGAGGCGCCGAGCGGGAACGGGAAGCAGGTGGCCCTGTCAGGGGCTCCCACAGGTGACAGCGCAGGGAGGGGAGACGGAGAGACACCTCCCTCTGCAGCGCCGCACGGGAAAGGACGCTGTGGGCAGAGCTGCGGGCTGCCCCTCCCCGGGGGTGGGGGTGAGGACCAGAGGGTGCGTCCAGGGGCGGAGCCTACTGTGCCCGCCCACCTGGGGCATGTGGGGGAGGGGGTGTGTGTACAACGCCTCTGGCCCTGAGCTCTGTCAACGAAGCTAACCCCACCCCTACCCTAGATTCCCACACGGTGGGAAGGCGCAGCCGCCGGCTCCACGCCGGGCTCGGGCGGTGGGCAGGCGCAGCCGCCGGCTCCACGCCGGGCTCGGGCGGTGGGAAGGCGCAGCCGCCGGCTCCACGCCGGGCTCGGGCGCTGGCCCAGGCAGTGGTGGGTGGATCGATCGGGAGGCGCCCTGGGCGCCCGGGGCCCCGCGGGAGCAGGAGCGGCAGGTGGGGCTGGGCGCAGCCTACCTTAAGCTGTTTGCGCACTTTGTCGATGAAGAACTTCCAGCAGGCCTCCCGCGTGTCGGCCACGCCCAGGGACTTCACCTGCGGCCGCATGGACGCGATGATGTTCTCCACCTCGTCGTCCGCGAACAGCCCCGGGATCTCGCCCGATGCCAGCAGGTCGTTCATCAGCACCAGGAACTGCTCCTCGGACACCTGGGAGTCCGTCATCAGGAACACGGACGGCACGTTCTTCACGGCCGACTTGATGTACTGGGCGGCCAGGTCCACCTGCACGGGCGAGAGGCACCCTGCACAGCCGCCCGGGGGAGGGGCGGGGGCGGGAGACGGAGCCGTGTGGGTGGGGCCTGGCCATGCGCACGGAGGCCAGGAGTGTGGACACCCACAGCCCGGTCCGTCCACTCAGGGGACACCGTTGGCCTTCAAACGGGAGGACACACTGACACCTGCTGTGGCAGGGACAGGCCTTCCTTGGGGACACGGTGGTGACACAAGCCGGTCACAAAAGGGCAAGTGTGTGATTTCACCGACAGGATGTCCCTGGGGGAGGCAGGGTCACAGAGGCGGCGCCGGGGGCCAGGAGGGGAGGCGCTGGATGGAGCCCGGCTCCGTTTCGCAGGATGAAGTGCGTGGCTGTGCGCGGTGCCCGTGAGCCACGCGTGTGACAACGGTGGATGTCGTGTGGCACGTGTTGTGCCGTGCATACGGGAAAGGCAAACACAAGCATCTCAGGTGGAGATCCCCAAAGAGGACCCCCCAGCTTGGGCCGGGAGGCGCAGCCCCACAAAGATGCGCACCGATGGTTTTCCGGTAGCCAGGAGAGCAGGTAGAGGCGGGAGAGGCCACGCCACGTGTGTGCCCGGGAAGGAACCTGCCAGCAGCGTGAGTACTGAGGTGCACCTCAGGGCTCGGCGGAGTCCCGGGGGAGACCCACAGGCCTCGGCGGGGGCCTAACAGGCTCTGGAGGCGTCAGCCACGGGCGCTCCGCTGGCTTTGCGCTGCCTTTGGGAGGACACACCAGACGCACCCGCCCACAGGGCGACACCACGCGGCTCCTTGTCTGAGGCCACTGGGGTACAGCGAGGGCCGAAAGCCAGCCTCAAACTCCTTTTAAAAAAATTACTCATTTTTACAGGAAAGGCGCAGAGAGGGGGAGAGGGAGGGAGACGGAGACAGGGGGGAGAGAGACGCGAGTCTTCCACCTGCTGGCTCACTCCCCAAACGCCCACAGCAGCCGGGGCGGGGCCAGCCTGGCGCCAGGAGCCCAGAACTCCATCCAGGGACCCAAGCACTTGCGCCCTTGCTGTGGCCTCCTGGGGAGCCCATCAGCTGGACGCTGGACTGGACGCAGGGCCGGGGCTCTGGTGCGGGATGCAGGCGTCCCACGCAGTCTGCAAGTAGCTCGCTGCGCCAGGTGCCTGCCCCTAATTCCGCATTTTTTGACAAATGGGAAAGAGGAGGAAAGTGATGGAATGCTCTGAGCTGGAAAATCGTGGACACGTGGCGTCCGAGCCCCTGGGCGAGCGGCCCCCCTGCGGGTCAGCAGTGCCTTCGAGACTGTCCTGTGTTTCAGCGTGGAGCTGGTGACAGCTGTCTGAATGGCGCACGCAGGCCCCCTCCCGGCGCCTCCCAGGCTGGCTGGCCAGGCTTCCCAGCCTGCGTGCCTGCGTCTCCTGGGGTGGCCAAGGCTTCCTCCTACGGGCTGTGAATGACCAGGATCAGGTTTCGGATCGGTTAGACTGAGAAGGGGTCTGCAAGGTTACCGCTGTGGATCCAGGCCACGGTAGAAGCTTCTGGAAGGCCACTGGACCGCAGAGGCCCCTCCCATGCGTTGCTCCGTGTCTAGCCGCGCCCTGCGATCTGTGCCAGCCCCAGCTCTCAGAGCCACACCTCCCGCACCTCTGCTGACCCCAGCTCTGTGCGGCGGCCCCTGTCCTGCGAGGCCAGTCCCCTCGAGCCACTGCGTGTTGGTCACCACCTCCCACTGTCCCCTGCCCTTCACAGACACTGACATCCTGAAGGTGGCACCCGTGGTCCTTTTTCTCATTTCCCAACCTCACTTCCCTCCTGGGGGCCTGGCCCGGAGAAGGCTGGCTCCGCTGCAGGTGTCATTGTCACCAGTGCCGGCAGGCTCAGCCCCGCTCCGTCCCTCCCCTCTGGCCGTCACACAGGGCAGGGCTGCGCGTGTGGACAGGCACCGGGTGGACGTTAGTGTGCGGGAGGGTCCTCTTCTCTGCCTGGGACACACCCAGCAGCAGGTTCCCTCGCTGTGTCCACAGAGGGCCAGGGACACGGAGCCACGACGTGGGAGGCACGGGCGCAGAGGTGTGAGACGGGGTGGGGGCAGGCGCAGGACACAAGGTCAGCTGCCCCTCACCCCTCCTGCCCACAATGACGGAGCCACCGGGCCCACGGCGGCCCCTCCCGCGGCTGACGGGGCATCCTTATGGCTCCGTCTCAGCCGCACTCCCAGGATGGAGAGCAGGTGCAGTCCAGCTGTGGGCGCACGAAAGGCGGCCAATCCTGCCCCCAGAGCCCGGCCGAGCGCCCGGTGTCCGCTGCTTCCCGGGGCCACCTCTGGAAGTCTCTGCATCCTCAGACTGTCCTCCACGCGGTCCCCGAGCAGTGCCGGCGCCCCCGCCTCTGCCCACACAGCAATGGGGTCTGCACAGGGCACTTGGCGTCCCTCCAGGGGGCGCCCGCAGCTCCTAGCGCGCTGTGACAGTCACAGCCCCGGAACTGCCGCAGGGTCCCACGGCTGGGTCAGCCCTGCTGTCCAGCACCCGTGGTCAGTGAGCAAGCCACGTCGGTCTCAGAGCTGGGAGGCGCTGTGCGCTGGGGCACTCACGTCCCAGGAGACCTAGGGCGTGGACAGTGCTGACCGACAGAGCGGAATCCGCTTGGGGAGCAGTGGACGCCTCGCCCCCCGCGCCCCAGCCGCTGCCTCGGGTCCTGCGCAGTGGGCAGGACTGTCAGGGCCCCCGCTCTGGCTCTGGCTCTGGCACTGGCCTGGCTGCCCCGGCACCACCGCAGGCCTGTGACGCCGCCACGTGGTCAACACCACCTCGGGGCCCCTCGCTGCCCTGTGGTGACCTGGGCTGGCCCGAGAGTGTGTGACGGCGCCCGGTGCCTGGGAGAAGGGAAGGAAGGGAGAAATCCACAGGAAGCTGCAGCGGCAGGTGGCAGCCACGGACACCTGTTATACCCGCGAGCCTCTGGTTCACGCCGGGTCCCGGCCAGAGCTCAGGCACATGGTTGGACACCGGGCGGGGACTCCGAGTCCTTCCGTCCGCAGGGCTGGGCAGGGCTCCCAGCAGCCTGGAGCCCCGGCCTGGGTCGCACAGCCCGTGGGCTGCCCGCTGCGCCTGAGACAGAGCCCCTCCCGGGGGGCTGCTGGGGCCGCCCCAGCGCTCTGCCCCGCCCCCAGGGCAGCCACCCGCCACTCACTTTGAGGTCGGGGATCCCGTAGCCCTTCTTGAGGGTGATCTGGAAGACGTCCAGGGCGCTGATGAAGGCCGCCAGGCGCGAGAGGCTCTGCTTGCCGCTGCCGCCCACCCCCACCAGCAGGGCGTTCCCGCGGGGCGACTCCAGGATCCGGTTGATGCGGCAGATGTGCGCCACGGCGTCTTCGAACAGCACCTGGCGGGGCGGAGAGGGGCCTGGAGCCGGCGCGGGCGGGAACCGGCGCCTGTCCCCCGGGCGGCGGCCTTGCTCTGCCCCAGCCCCGCAGCCCCTCCCCCCCCAGGGGGGGGCTTTGGGGCGTCAGCCATAGACACCCCCCCCCCCCGCAGTGGTTTTACTGCCGAGGTTTGCTAGCCACGGTTGACCGAGGTCTGAAAATATTGCATGAAAACTTCCAGAAACAACGGGTTTGTAAATTTTCACTAATTTTATTCCAGGGCCGGCGCTGTGGGATAACCAGTAAAGCTGCCACCTGCAGGGCTGGCATCCCATATGGGCGCTGGTTCAAGTCCCGGCTGCTCCACTTCCGGTCCAGCTCTCTGCTGTGGCCTGGGAAAGCAGCAGAAGATGGCCCAAGTGCTTGGGCCCCTGCACCCGCATGGCAGACCTGGAGGAAGCTCCTGGCTTCGGATCGGCACAGCACCCGCCATTGCGGCCAAGTGGGGAGTGAACCAGCAGATGGAAGACCTCTCTCTCTCTCCCTCTCTCTCTCTGCTTCTCCTTCTCTGTGTAACTCTGACTCTCAAGTAAATAAATCGATCTTTTAAACAATGCCTATTCCAACACACCGAGTGGTTTTAATGAACTTCTCACGGTGCCCAGCCGATACATGAAGCTTTCTCGTGGCACCGAGAGTACCGATGGGACCCAGCCCCCTGGGGCGGGGGTGCACATGTGCGCGCTGGGGCGGGGCGCCGGGGGCCGCCAGGGGCTCACCAGGTTCATGACCGCGTTGACCTCATTGTAGCTGTCCAGGACGTCCACCAGCAGCTTGTTCAGGTAAGCCACGTCCGTGACGGACAAGTATTTGGATTCGCCGATCCCTTGGGCAAAGTGGCAGAAGATGTTTGGTCTAGCAAACAAGAGTTCATCGCCGAGCTCCTAGAGGGAAGAGGGAAGAGCCGTGTGTCTCGCCGCCCTGGACTCACGGGGAACTAACGCAGCCAGGCTGGCCTGAGGGTCCCCAGGAGGCCAGGCCAGGACCCCAGGGTCCCCAGCCGCAGCTGCTGTGGGCTCTGCACACCACCCAGCAAACCCCACTGGTGCAAGGTTCCACCTCCGCCACATCAGGACCGCGTCCATGCCCGAAAAAGGGACTCCACCAGGACCACCGGGACACACCCCCGCAGAGCATGCTGGGAGCTCATCACGCCCTCAGCCTCCTCGCTCAGTCCACGGCCACGTGACAGAGGCATCACGCGGGGCCTCCCGTGGGGCCTCCCATGGCTCCCCCCAGGTGCGCCCAGGGGTCCTTCCACCGGGGCTGGGGTTGCATCCCGGAGCCTCCCCGGCTCCGCGGCGGGACCTGTGCTTGACTCACATCAAAGAACTTCTTGGTGGAAGCCATGGTGACCCTGCGCAGGGTGTCCTGGTCCTTCTCGTCCACCATCTTGTCGCCGTACACGCGCTCCGCCTCGTGCAGCCAGAGGCGGACGAGGTCCAGGGGGCTTTTCAGGAGCTCCGCTGTGGAGAACAAGAGTCCCTGCCCCACCCAGGACAGCCAGGTCGGCGAGAGCTGTGTCACCAGGGCGAGTCCAGCACCCCCCAGAGGGAGGGCGGCCGCTCCCCCGGCCAGTGACCTGCCGGGCTGTCGATACCGCGTCTGCTCGGGGCCTGGGAAGCCGCAGCTCTCGGAGGTCCGACACAGCCGGGAGCCAGAGAGCGTGTGTGCTGAACACACGGGGGAGTCTACCTCACAAGACAGGGCCGAGGGCTCCTCTAACAGCCTGGGGCCGGGGAGGGACAGGGAGGCCAGGCCCAGCACAGCTGCAGGGCACCAGTGTGGGCTCCACGGCAAACCCGTCTGGGCCAAGTCTCGGCTCGGCCACGTGCTAGCCAAGTCTGGCAGGTGTACACTGGGGCTCCGTTTGCCTGGCCAGGGCCCTGGGGACACAGCGGCCACAGGACAGACCCTGCCTCTGAGGACTTCACACTGCAGCGGGTGACCACACCAGGCCAACAAGTCAGCGGGCAGTCGCCCAGTGCATGTGCTGTCGGCGGCTGAACACAGCACGGACAAAGGGTCCGTGAGGACGAGCGGGCCTCTGTGAGAGCCTGCCGTCTGAGCCAGCTCGTAAGGCGGGGAGACGGGCAAACTGCAGGCTCCAACCTCCCGTGTTGTTTGGAGGAGAAAATGGCAGCGTAAGGGGCCAAGGCCAGCGCTTCGCTCGGTTAAGCAGTCAACGGACGGCAGGGAGCAATACCACCTCCACCATCGTCACCATCACCGTCACCATCATCACCATCACGTCACCATCATCACCATCATGTCACCGTCACCATCACCATCATCACCCATCACCATTACCATCACCATCACCCATCACCGTCAGCTGTCATCACCATCACCGTCACCATCATCACCATCACCGTCATCACCCGTCACCGTCACCATCATCACCATCACCGTCACCATCATCACCATCACCGTCACCATCACTGTCACCATCATAACCATCACGTCACCATCATTACCATCACGTCACCGTCATCACCCGTCACCGTCACCATCATCACCATCACCGTCACCGTCACCATCCATCACCGTCAGCTGTCATCACCAGCACCACTGCCATCACCATCACGTCACCACCACCACCACCAGGGTCACAGCACCATCACCACCATCATCACCATTACCACTGTCCCCACAACCACCGCCATTGCCCTCACCATCACCACTGCCACCATCACATCACCACGACCACTGTTCCCACCACCATCACCACGTCATGACCACCACCACCTATCCCCATCATCACCGCCATCACCGCCACCACCACCAGGCCCACCGCCGTCTCCAGCCCACAGCCGCCTTGGCTCTCCCGAGTGCAGCAGGGCACGCGAGCGCCTTTGCGTCAGGGGCTTGGCTGCAGCCGCGGGAGCAGTACCTGGAAGATGTTGGAGAGGTCCCGGAGGTTGAAGACGTAGTGGAACTTGATGGCCGTAGGCAGGAACGTCGTCGTGACCTTCTGGTGCAGGGCTGGCGGAGGCACAGACGCACGGGTCCTCACTCTGGGTGGCCGCAGGAGCCGAGCTTCAAGCTCCCACGGGACCAGGAGGTGGCGCCACCCCCACTAGGAGCAGGTGTCTCCCACGGGAGGGGAGGGTGCGGCCGGCCCGCTCACCCAGGGCCGCGGCCACCAGCTGGCTGCTCATCCTCTGGACCACCAGGGAGACCGAGCGGAAGGACAAGTGCTGCGTCAGGATGGTGCTGTAGATGGTGGTGAGGGCCTCCTGGCCGGGGAAGCTCACGGCAAACACGCAGAAGTGGCGCTGCCCGGAGCGGGCGCGAGCCCCCGTCAGGCAGGTGCCGGGACCAGCCTCAGGCCGGCCCCCACCCCCCCACACCCTCACCCTCACCCCCACCCCCACCCATGGTCAGGTTCTTGTGTGTGTGGTCAGAGAGGGCAGATTTAGTCCCTGTGCCTCGCATTGGTTAATTCGAATAAACTTTAAATTGCCTTAAACACTGATCGTACGGATTCACACAGACAACGGAACCAAAGCTGTTTTGGTGGAAAAAGTTGTGAAATGCGAGCATTCTTTTTTCAGAATACATATTTGCTGATTTTTTTTGCAGATCCCTCATACGCATGGATGTCAAGAATTTTTTGCACCCAAATTGTGGTCCCACGACCGCCGACTCCGCATTAGCAGGAAGGCAGGACCTGGGGCTGGAGCCGGGACTTGAACCCGGGACGTCCGGCTCACCTGCAGCCTGGGGTCGATGGTGAAGGAGCCCGCGGTGGGGTTCATGCAGGCCACGTACTGACAGTTGTGGACGTCCTTTAGCGTCAGCTTCTGCCTGTCGTACCTGTGCGAGGGAGGCGGGCGCTCAGGCCGTGCCGCCCACCTGGAGGGGCCCCCAGGAGCACCCCGCCGGGTCAAGCCCCCCCCCCCACCGTGAGCGTGGGGGAGCTGAGAAATCGCGGAGGTCACTTCCTGCTCGCCACAGTGAGCTGGAGGAGGCGGCCGGGAGTGGGGCTCAGCTGGGGGCTTCCCTGCGGCCCTGCGGCCCTGCGGCCCTGCCCGAGCCGTGGGCTCCTGGGACGGCCCAGGGAGCCAACACCACACAGCACGTGGCGGGGCCCGGCATGCTCTCGGGGTGGCGGGGGTGCTTGGCGGTGCGATCCCTGACGGACGCCGCTGGTCAACATGGAGACCTTCCCTGACGTCCGGCGCTGGCTGAGCCTCCAGGGGCTCCCGTTGACGGAAGGACACAGAGTTCGTGAGTTTTTGCTTTTGCTACCTGATGGGGTTTTCCCTATTACGCATTTTAAGTGTCTTTTAGAAGCTTTTTTATTTATTTCAAAGGTGGGGGGGAGAAAGGGAGAGAGAAGGAGAGAGGGAGGGGGGGAGGGGGGGAGAGGGAGAGGGGGAGGGGGGAGAGGGAGAGGGAGAGAGGGAGAGGGAGAGAGAGGGGGAGAGGGGAGAGGGGGAGAGGGGGAGAGAGGGGGGAGAGAGGGAAAGAGAGCGAGAGAGAGGGGGAGAGACGGGGAGAGGGAGAATCTTCCGTCTGCTGCTTTACTCCCCAGACGGCCGCAACAGCGGGGCCAGGCCCAGGCCGAAGCC